CTAATCCTTTATTGTATATGCCATTTGCAAATATCTTCTCCCATTCAGGAGGTTGTCTTTTAGTTTTGTTGACTGCTTTCTATGCTGTGCAGAAGCTTTTCATTTTTTAAGATTTTATTTATTTATCTGAGAGGGAGAGAGAGAGAGCACAAGCAGGGGGAAGTGGCAGGCAGAGGGAAAAGCTGTCTCCCCACTGAACAGAGAGCCCAACACGGGGCTTGATCCCAGGACCCTGGCATCCCGACGTGAGCTGAAAGCAGATGCTTGATCGACTGAGCCACCCAGGAGCCCCAGAAGTTTTTATTTTGTTGTAGTCCCAGTAGTTTATTTTTGCTTTTGTTTTCCTTGCCTCGGGTAACATATCTAGAAAAAAGTGGCTAAGGCTAATGTCAAAGAGGTCTGCCTGTCATCTCTTTTAGATTTTTATGATTTCAGGTCTCACATTTAGGTCTGAAAAGGCAGGTTTAAATGTATATGTGTATTAGAATGAAGTGTTGCTTCAAAAAATTTTTCTGCATTTCTGATCAACGTCCCCTCTTTATGGGGAGGATCTATGTAGTGCACGAAAGCACAAAATGTGGCATCAGAGGAGAAGTGGAGACAGTTCACATTAACAAAAAGGAGCATGCCAGCATCAGGAGATAGAACACTGTTCTCACTATTAAATTCTAGGAGGTGACTGTATAGATACTTACATAAAAATACTGAGTAAACTAATAGGCTATATCTCCAGAGTGATTTTGTAGAACAGGCAGTTCAGGCTGGCAGAAAGTGCCTGGAGTCGTAGAAGCTTGACTTTAACGGGCAGAAGGCATGAACAGACATTTCTCCAAAATGGAGAAATTGGCCACATTTTTAACTTCTGAGACTCAGTTCTTCATCTGTGCGATGGTGGTAACAGTCCCTACTCCTCAGGGTCACTCCGAAGGTAGAATGAGATAGCAGGAGTAAGTGGCTGGCCCACGGCACATATTTAACAAAGATTTTGCCTTCCCATCCCCAGGTGTATCCTATACAAATCTTCATTATTCCTTGTACAGATGTATGGGCTTTAATATTCATACTGTTGTATTTCATAAAGATGGATGAATCATAGGTCATTTACTTGTACAATTATTTCATTCCCTCCCCCACTAGCTAAAAGCTCCACAAGGAGAGGGGTTCTTCCTGTTTCCTCCTAGTGGTAAGTGGTAAGGAGTGTATCACACATAGTACATGTTCCATCAGCATTTGTGGTAGGAAGGAAAGAAGACATTTTTCATTGAGGACTTACTAATGTGGTCTAAGCGTGTTGCTCTTTGGTGACCACCTTGAAGCATACGTGTGCCTTCAGAGACTCTCCAGAGAGAATGGTTGCTGCTCTTTGGACTGGTGCTCTCAAATAGCAGCATCAGATGTTCTGAACATCCGTAGGTGCCTCAGATTAAATCTGTTTTCCCTCCAGCACCCGCGTTCAAGTGAAAAGTTTGGAGTGAAATGGATCAAAATGGATTTTATTGCTTTTATGTACTTTTTAATCTGCAAATTTTCAACAACAGAGTCTATTTATCATTGTAAATGCACAACCATTCAGTTTCAAAACAGAATGAGGGCAGATTATGAGCTAACTTTGAAAATTAATTACCACTTATATAACAAATTTTTTTGTGGTAAAATGTGTTCTCAGTTCCAAATGACTAGCTCATGAATGAACTTCTAAAACCCAAACCATTTGTACCTCAGGACTGTCTATAACACATTGATGAGACACTATGGAAGTTTTACCTTTATAATGTAATTAATTTTTAAAAAATGTAATCTAAAGTAAAATCTAAAGCCTCCTTTTTTCCTTCCTTCTTTCCTCCCTTTCTCCCTTCCTTCACCCTCCCCTCCCCATGTTTCCCAAACACAGTTTAAAAAAAAATCCCCTGTATTCCAAGCTGCATTGGCAGAAGAAGCTCCAAAAAAGTGTTAAGACTGTGACTCACCTCATTGTAATTCTGCTTATAGAATTTGTGGAAAAGGAATGAAATCCAAGAAAATAAAATAAAACTTTAAAAATCCCACTGATAAGCAAAAATCCTTTCTGTAGGAAATAGAGTTATATAAAAAGATTTATATTTTGTTTCATATAACTCAGAGGAAACCCATATCCCCTGTTAACTGCCACCTCTAATTAGTTACAGACCATTTAACTCCATAAATATTTTCAAGGATTAATGATAATTGACACATGTATTATGCTTTTAATCTTTTAAGAAATGTTAATATTGATTCTTTTCCCTAGAATCTCGGGATGGCAACAGTATTTTATCCCAGTCAAAAAAGAGGCAGAGACACCACCTTGTAACCAGCCCTGTAATGGTTAAGTCAGCCTGGTTACGCACGTTGGCTGGGGTCTCTCTCCTTTCCACATCCTCCACTTCGCTCAGCTCCAGGCACCGCCAGGGTGATTTCTCTCTTTGTGTTCTTCCATTAACCACTTTCACTGCACCCCAAGGAAGCCTATGGACCAATGAATGCAAGGATTCTCAAACTTGGCTGTGCTTCCCCAACCACGTGGGGAAGCATTACGAAGAATACAGATGGTGCAAGGGTCCCATCCAGGACAGAATCCATCAGAACCTCTGAGCATGAGACTTGGGCCAACCAGGCTTGACCAACCTTAGTGTAACTTTAATGGAAACAGAACAGCATTATTCAGACCTCTAACAAATGGAGTTAATTTTCAAAGGAAAAGAGGAGTTTTTGATGGGGATCTGTCAAAGTCAATTTTATGTGTCAACCCGACTGGGCCACAGGGTACCCAGGTATTTGGTTAGACATTATGTGTCTGTGAGGGTGTTTCTGGGTGAGATTAACACTTGCGTCGGTAGGCTGAGTAAAGCAGACTGGCCTCCCCAATGGGGGTGGGCATTATCCAATTCACTGATGGCCTATATAGAATCACAGGATGAAGAAGGGAGCATCTATTCTCTCCACCTGACTGTCTTCCATCTGGGACATGGGTCTTCTCCTGTCTCTGGACTCAGACTTGGACTAGAATCTCTGCTATCAGCTTTCCTGCTTCTCAGGCCTTTGGACTTGGACTGAAACTGTACCATCGGCTCTGCTGGGTCTCCAGCTTGTCGACTGCAGATCTCAGGACGTCTCAGGCTCCACAGTCACATGATCCAATTCCTCATATGCATGTACAGACATGTAAGAGCATGCACGCGTGCTTGCACACGTACACACACACACACACACACACACACATCCTACTGATTCTCTTTCTCTGGAGAACGCTGACTAATACAGGATCATATTTCTTTCAACCATGTATGCTAGTTAAATATACATAAAGGTACACAGACAGTGTTTGAGGGATATTTTACAACAATGAGACAAGGAAGCAGAGGGCAAAGTGCCATTATGTTAGAATAAAGGTTGAGAAGGTCCCTACTTGGGGACCTTCTTTGGAAAGAAGGCTCCTGTTCAATTGGAAGGAGCTGTGCAGGGATGCAGAATGAAGGTTTGTTTTTTTTTAAATAAGAAAATACTTTACATTCTATTCACATACACATAAATAATCTCATATGATCCTAAAAAAATTGGATGGTGAGAATCTGAACATAGTTTAAAGGTGAAGATATTGCCTGACGGTATTGGATAATGATAAGCTCCCTATCTCTTTGTATCTAAAATGTTTACTGAAAATATAAAAGAAAAATATCATCAGGAAGAGAAAGGCAGTGCTAAGTGCCGATGTCAGTGAGATGTAAGGACACAAGAATTCTCAGGGCATCAGCAGCTCACTGGCCTGGGCCTTCTTTTTTCATTCTGTCTCTTGGTTCCTGGGAGCTGCGGTCTACGATATTAAGTACCAGAAATGCTGGTGTTCCTTACAGTTGATGCTCCCTCCTGCATTTGCCTTTTTCTCGCCCTTCTTCAGTCTCTCTCGTTTTTTTCATTCCTTCTTTATTTAAGCAGTGGATAAGTGTTTTAGGAAATACATTAAAAATCAGGCATATTAATATGATGGGGCTCTAAACTAGTGATGAGGATTACTTGGGAAAATGTGTTCTCTAATAAAAACATTTAAAAGTGAAAAAAAAAAGTCTGGTATTGCAATTTAAAGCAAATCACTTAAATACAGATAGATAAAGAAAATAGGGCAAGATAATGGCATCTTTCTGAGTTTCCTATGTCAGAACTTTTCAAGCAAACTTACCACACACAAGCAATTGGGGAAAAAAATTCACAAGTGAATAATTTAGCATACAACCCTCAGCAGAATCTAATGAAAAATCACCAAGCTGGATTTCAATATAAATTGTTGCATACAAAACCTGTTTTGCAAATACGTTACAGGTTTTAATGTAAGTTGCTGCATAAAATGTGAACAGTTTTACAACTATATTCTGTAATTTAGACTTTTAGCTTAACTGCATGGCTTACTTATGTAACTCTACAAAATGATGAGTGTGGAAGGCTTGAGCTTATAAGGGAAAAATGCCTTCACTTTAGTGATTCCAGTTTAAACTTACAGAAATATCAAATTACTTATTGAAAAAAATCCCAGATGAAGTAAAAAAGGAATGTTCTGGGAAGTTGCCGTTGACAGTCTATTGCCCTGATCTTATAGATGTTTGTTTCCCAGGATTACTTAGTGAGGAATATCAGCATTTGAAAAATAAGAATGGCCAGAGGTCTTTGACAGTCTCGTCAGAGGGTTCTAGAGGGGCTGAATCTTTTTGTTTTTGTTTTTTTTTTTTAAAGAAATATCTAATCTAATTCTGTATAAAAAATCTGAGAGCGAACTGAGAGCAAATGAGGAATAAAGATAATAAATTAAAAATGAATTAAGAAAATCTGACTTGTTCCCCACTGTTCTTCCAAGAGCCCACCCTGAGCTTGGACTGTCTCTGCTACCCATGACTGCAGAGGCGAAGTCGCAGGAAGGGAACCTGAGGGCGACCTTTCCAAATCACAGGAATCTAGGAGCCTGATCTCTGACTTCCAAATAAGGTTAAAGGCAGCTTCGTTATCCAGATCCTGAAATGTCAGCCAACTTCACCAGCATGAGGAGTGCAATCAAAAAAAGACACTGTGCACCAAAAGAAATACATCAGTCACTAAAATGGAAAGCCATATAGCAAATCTGATGTCAACGCCGGTGAGCATTTTTAAACAACGACAATAGACTACGACGTGGGTGTGCCCACCAAATGAAGGAATGTTCTCTTCCTAGAGCCTAAATCCGCTGATTAGGAATCACATCAACTGGGCAGTAAATGGCATACAGAGACGTTGCTCTTCTTACCACGTTTGCTTTACCCACTAACACTAGCTTCACTTCCATTTGCAGCTTACCCTTCATTTTTTTTTTAAAGATTTACTTATTTATTTTAGAGGGGGTGGGGAGGGGCAGAGAAGAAGAGGGAGAGAATCTCAAGCGACTCCCCGATGAGCACGGAGCCCGACGCGGGGCTCAATCTCACGACCCTGAGATCATGACCTGAGCCGAAATCAAGAGCCTGGACGCTTAACTGACTGAGCCACCCAGGGGCCCCTCAGCTTACCCTTCATTTTAAACTCCCATGTCCTTATTTACACTTGGGCTCTTTGAGCATCCTCCTTTCCTCCAGCGAATGTCTGAAACAAAAACACCTAAGAGAAACAACATTGCGATGCCAATTTTCACCATTACCTGATTTTTCCAACCTGTTACAAAGCGCAACTCATAAAACCAAGAGGGAGCATCATTCCTTGTGTGTGTTAAACACTCTGGTAAAGCAACACCAAATTAAGGAGCCAAGTTTTAACAATGCTGTGGATACCCTTCTGGAAATCGCTTGTGAAATGGCAACTCCTTGAAGGCCCATATTTCATGAACTTGGCAAAACTCCCTTTCAAGGTCATTTCCAAATGCTTGTCTTATGCAGACCAGCATGCATGGAACATCACTCGCATGGCACCAGGTCAACCCATTAGTCATTGCTGGAGGGAGCCTTCTGTGGCAAGGCAGCCTGCTTCAAAGTCAGATGGGCTTTTGAAAAGCATGCCAAGAAAACTTTCAGATTTGAAATGTTACAGAAGAGAAGGTCACAACATCTTTTAATGGCCTCCTATCCTTGCAGAATGTTGCTGTTCATATTTTTATGCAAATATTAATATCAACCCAGTGTGAAAATCAGGTTTGAAAATGTGGTAAGTCAGTTTGCGCATATGTCTTCAATTGAGCATGCTGCCGAGTGCCAAACTTCAACCAAGCTGATCAGACTGTAGGTCTGAGTAAAAGCCGAAAGTGGTGGAATCTAGTTGCTATAGCTGCAAATTAAACAAATAAATGAGACACCATGGAATGCGGCAAAATAGCTGTGGTCTGATTAGTTCATATTTGCCATATGTGTGAATATTAGCAGTCAAATTCTGAGTTTAAGCAAAGTGCTTTGCAATAGGTGCAAGCAAGGAGAAATGCTTAAAAATAAATAAGGGAGATTTGAATTCTATGTCCAAGGATAAATATCTTACCTATTATATAAACTTTCAAGGAATTTCATTAACTTTTTATGTTAGGAGTATATACAAATGTGTTGTTGCTAAAAATACAAGATTTCCACCTGAGCATTTCTCCTTGAAGCTATAGACAGAGTTTCACGCTAGCTTCTTACCTACTATATGCTAATAGGTGAACATCATTAGCTATAGGGGAATTTTATCTTATCTTTGCCATAAGATTCCTACCCTGTCCTCTTTGAGGGGACTTCTATTCATGGAGCCTATTATGTGGCAGGTACCATGCTATGTACTTCCGTAGCCAATCTCAGGAGCTCCTGCAAGAAGCTGCCCCACTCGTGGAATTCAGGAGAGAAGACCATTGAACAGAGAATTCTATTCTGACTAACCTCTTAAATCACTTACACTAAACCCTTTCCACAGAATGATAAAACCAGAGAAAACTCGAGAGGTCATCTAGTTCAGTGGCCCCTTCAAGGTGGCTCACATGTCTGTATCGCTTAGAAGAGCTGCCTATAGACACAGAGTGCCTTTTGGGGTTAACCCGGTGTAAGAAAGAGAATGGAACAAAAAAGACACTCTATTGTGTGTGTGGCAGCAGGGCAGAGCATAGAAAGGGATGTTTACTAACATCAGTCTTTTTATCCTAATGCATATAGACAGTAGCCATGTGAAGAGTAGCACTTGGACATATAAGATAATTTGATATATTACCAGGTCACATGAAAGAACATATTTGATACGGATGAAAGGGGTTGCCTTAAGGGGAAACATTTCCACCCACCAGGGCTAATCCTTACAACTAGGTTAAAACGTATCTCAATTAGATCATTAAGGGCAAGTTCATTCTCTGAATATGGATATGGTAAAACAATAGGAAAAAGTCACCCTTGCTTAGATGAAAAGGAAAATCATCAGAAGTGCCAGGAATGTTTATTAGTGTCTTGATGAGATATGTTTGTGAAATATAATGATGATGCATGGTGAAAGGCATCTATTCACTAGATGTTAACAAAGCTCTAAGAAGAGAGGCCTTGGGTGTGATAAGTGTGATGGGGTCGGTCAGCTCAGCATCCTACCCCCAGCTAGGGTGCTGGCTAACTGTGCAAGCCTGGACAAGTTCTCATGCTGCACACTTGAAGGCCAGCAGATACAGTTCTGCTCTGGAAAAAGGGAAGACTGATTTTGAAAATTATAAGCCAGTGAGCTTGACAAGGATGCTGTACGGTTCTAAAATGGGTCACTGAAGGGCTCAGGTAGGATACAGTGAGAAGTAAATGGTGATCATATGTACCAGCTAAGTTCACTTAGTAAAAATAATCTGATTTCCTTTTCAGAAAGTGTTACCAGACTGGGAAAGTAAGGAAATAGGATAGAAAGGCATTCACTCCACCATTATTCATTCATCCTTTCACAAACATTTTCTGAGACCTACTATGTGCCAGGCACTGATCCAGAAGATGGGACTGTGCAAGGAAGCTAAGAGCATGTGCCTGCCATTAAAGAACAAATTCAACAGTTCCAGTCAAATGCAACAACATACTACAAGTACAGGACAGCAGATGCTATCATAGAGGCACATGTGGGGTAGAGGCTCGTAAAGAGAGGATGGTCAGTTCTGTGATGTAAGGCAGAGTTGATGCATGAGTGGACTGGGAGGAGAGAGAGGTTTTTGACAGGAAACCCAGGGCTGAGTGGACACTCAGTCCCGGAGAAGCCCCATCTTAACCTTAAATGGGATCACGGAAGTTAACCAGTATTCCTAAAGGACCAGGCAGTTTGGGGACAAATTTGATAGTTTAGCTTCAGATTCAAATAGAAAAAAAAAAAAGAAAGAAAATTTTTAGTTGAAAATTTCCTGGTGGGTTGCCACAGTTTTTCCTTGCTGTTCTTTCTTCACTTTTTAACATGACTCAGATAAAGGAGCATGCAAATGAGATGAAGATTCTTGCTGTCTTCATGATCTGGTGTGGATGTAAGGATTTGGGACAACGATTCTGGACTCCCAGAAAAGTTTCTTTTCCCACTTTATCTACATGTGACCAACACGATGACCCCTCAGGATCTTTAGATATCTAGAATCCACAGTCAAACTGGGAAACAGCAACACCTACTCTTCACAGGTGAGTTTTGATCCTAAGCTACCATCCACCTGTTGCCAGTATCATCTTATAACCCTTTTCCTCACCAGATCCCTTGTCCGAGAACTTTCTCTCCAATATACGTATTGCATTCATTTCCTATTTCTCCAACCCTGGATATGGTGATAATCTTCAGTGGCCAATACCACTGCCCCGTTCTTCCCTTCTGCTGCCACATAGGTCATTTTTATCTAAATACCTGTCTTGACCTTAGGAACCAACTATCCTCTCCCCACAGGGTTACAAGGTGGTCAAAATTTACTGCTCTGAAAAATCAATTACTTTGTTACTGACTTTACTCACAGCAGGAGCCTCCAAAGAAGCTTCAACTCAGGCACCTCAATTCCCAAAATAGTTTTATAGATCAATCATTTTATTAAATTCCAATAGATCCATTTAATGACCCTTAAAATCTTTCTGTGTACTGTGGCCTCCCCAGAGCCCATGCTGTATTCAAATTGAGTTTAACAAGATGGAATTCACTAAGAGTACACCTAAGGATCCTACATTTCGTATACAAAAGAACAAAATAGTAACAACTTCGAATCTTAGCTAAACCACACACTGGTCAGGTAAACGTGATGTGCAAGTTTCAGTATATGGTATAATGAACTGCCAAAAAGAGTTAACGGAGCTCGGACAACGCTAATAAGACAAGACGCTGGCTAAGCCTCTCTGTTGTGACTCTTGCCCAATCATACGGAACTGTAAAAACGAATCTAGACAAGCTGAAGCCTCGTCAGGGGAGACTGAGCATGATGCTAAAGGGCCTGTATGACATTTTCCCAATAAACATTTACAGAGTGTGCAGGAATGCCAGAGACTATGCTAGGTTCTGGAGGAAAAGATGAAAGAAAACAAGAACAACAACATTTGCTGCCCTTTATGGCCTTATAGCCCATTGGGGGAATAACCAAATAATACTAATCAAACAATGTGATAAGTGAAATCCCAGGTGTCGGGACAAAGTGTTCTGAGTGCAGGGAGAAGCGGCCCACTCAGATGCTTTGGAGACTCAGGACCGCTTCACTCACAGGTGGCGTCTGAGAAAGGGATGGAGCAAGGAGTTGTCAGAACTTCAGCTCTTCTAGAAAGGTAACTGAGGCCGCAGTGTGGAGAAAATTCTGGTGAGGAGGGAGTGGGGAGGTGGGGAGATAAGAGAGAGCCTGTTGCCTCAGTTCAGCTGGCTGATGATGAAGCCTTGAACTAAAGCCAGGATGGTGGAGGAGGATGGGGCAGCTTTGGGAGTTACTTGGGAGGTACATCTAGTAGGACTTGTCAACTAACTGTGAGGAATGTGGTAGAAAGAGGAGATTTTAGATGCTTCTGCCATTACTGAAGTGGCAACATGAGAGGAGTAACAAGACGAGGGGAGGGGTTAATGGGATGAATTTGTTTCGGTATGTTCATCTCAAGGTCCTTGCGTCAAACGCTGAGTGTGATGCTCCTTAGAAGTTGGACCCGGAAGTACAGACTTGGAATGACCCACGTATAACAGAGACTGAAGTCAGGGGAAGAGTGAGACCCCCCGGAAGAGAACGTGAAGAGAAGAGAGACAGCTGCTTATCTGAATCCTGCAGAATGGATGAACGGACGGGGCGGGTTTGAACTGGAGGAGAAAACGGAAGGTTCAATTCCTTATGAGAATCTTCCTTCAGCTGAAAACCCCATGGTCCTGGTCTACTGTTGAAGCTTCATCATTAGAGATGCTCAAGTAAAGACTGAAAGGGAATTTGCCAAGATATTGTTCAGGCAACTGAGGTATCACATGGTGTATGGACCAGATGGTCTTTAGAAACACTTCCCAAGTTTTAAGATGCTAGGATTCTGTGCCTCTATGATAGAAAATGCAGCTTTGTTTTTCCACTTCACTTTCTTTGGCAGCTATCACTGATGCTTGCTGAGGTTGGAGCTTCAATTAAAAGGGAGCTGGAAAGGATATAGGGATGGACTTCTGCCAAGGAGCTGGGTCTGTGGCTAATGAATGATCTGTTTGTGGTAATGAAGAAGGAAGCCAGTTCCTAAGACAACACCTTCAGTCCTGGCCCCACCTCTCCTCCGGCTGTGAAGAACTGAGGGCACATGAATGGGAGACATATGAATGAAGTTTACTTTGAAATATCTATGGATTTAAGGATTAGGGGCAAAAGAACTTGAATAAACCACACTTTGGGTTTTGCTGACCCCAAAATATCTGAATATAATTTATAGACCTTTCGATGAACTCAAACTACTGCTGGGCCTGCTCATCTATTCGGTGTAGCAAGAAAAAGGGCAGAGTGTAAGCCAAAGAGTATTAGCCTTGAATTCTATCCTTACATGGAAAATTAGTTCTACACTGGAATTTGTGATGTCAGAAAATTGCTTTAAAAAGCCATGGTCTAGTACCCTAGAGAAAAAAGAACTAATAATCAGATAAAATAATCAATATATGGAAATGCTTCCCAATAAATTTGACCTAGGCATTTCTATTTACTTGGCCTGTAACTCTCAGATGTTCCAGGGTCCGCGCTGTGTTCTTTGGACATCATTTCAGGCCTTCTCAGGCAGCGGCAACAATACGGTATGTACCAACCAATAAGACCCTCAGAGCGGATAGCAGGCCATGTATGTAAGATTTTATTGCAGAGCAGCTGAGATTGAAGAGTGAGGTAAAATACAAGTTAGGAAAGAAGTGAATGGTCTGGGGTTGCATTCTCCGTCAACTATTACGAAAAGGAAAAGACAGGGTAGAAAAAAAAAAAGGACAAGGAAAACACGGACGTAGAATATTGGTAAAATTCACTCATCGATGCATGAGTATTTTACTCATTGATTTCCACTGCGTAGAGGCACTGTTTGAAGCGCTTGGGTTAGATGAGTAACTGAAACAAAGACCTCTGCCCTTATGAAAATTATATTCTACCAGAAGGAGATGGACAATAAGCCATAAATACAGCACGTAAGTAAAACCAGATGGGTCAAGGATGGTTAAGTACCACCAGGGGGACAAAGAGCAGGGCAAAGGAACTCCGGGGACGTGCGGGTAGTGGGCAATACCTAACAGGCTGCTCAGAGTGGGCCTTACTGAGAAGGTGAGACTGAGCAAATGGAAATTCACAAGCAGAATGCTGTGATCTGTAAAACGAAATGAGAACCGTATGCAGCAACTCTGAAAGTATCTGCCTCACTGTGGATGGAACTCTCCTTCTCATTCCTGGGTCTTTGGGGTCTTATTTGTTTTCTTTGGGAGGTCCATTGGGAGTCTTAGAAAGTGGTTCCCAAGAAATTTCTGACCTCTGTTCCAGTCTTACTTTTATTTTTGAAAATTTCCAGATATCTTCCAGTTACTTTAGAATATATTGGGAAAATAATAAAGGTCAGTTTTTCTTTTCATATGAAAAAGATGATAGCCTTCTTGTGACCAACAGCTTGTTTTGTGAAATATCCAGTATCAGGGTGGCACAGACTCTACAGATCATGAAGTGCATCATCTGTGTGGCCCAGAACTGGAAACTTTCCGTAAGTTGTGTTATTTAACAAAAGAATAACATCAACTCTGAGTTCCTACAAAACCAATGATCTTCCAAGCAGTATTTAATGCCTTCTCTTCTGGGAAAGACAGATGTACAAAAACTTTAGTAATTACCAAATGTCAAAATAATATTGAACAGAATAAATAGTTGCCTAAATTAAAGTTCTCTTGAGGATCAGTTACATATAACAAGAACAACTGACAAATCAAGCATGAAGAGGGGCGGGCTTATTTTCTTTATCTCCTTATAAATTATATGGGGAATGAACAACTCCTGTGATTATAAGAATATCTAGGTCATGTATGCTTAAAGATCTGTGATAATAATAATAATATCCAAACTTCTGCACTGCTTGGCACTCTCAAGGCATTTTATAAACATTAATTAGGTCTTCGCTAAGCAGAGACACTGTCTCATTGTTGGTTTTTCCTGTTATAGCATCGCTGAGAATCAGCAATCTTCCTAGAGTTTAAATATTTATTTATTTATTGCTTTTAATGTATACTTACTCCATTGACAGTGCTTTAAACTTAGAATCAGCAGAAGAGAAAGGTTCAGGGATCTATTTTTGCAGCCAAGGAACAGGCCAGAATAACAATAGTGCTTCTCGTTGTCAGAGAGAACACAGCCTATGGAAGACCACTCTGTTGGCTTGTAGAATTGTTTTCCTACTCACCTTCCTCCACCTCAAACAGGCCATTTCTATCCTTTAAAAGTGCAAGTATTTTTCTCATCCTATAACCCCACAGTGCCTAGCAGGGTGCTTTGCATTTCATAGGTCTTACTGAAAATAAATGTTTGCTAGATTGATTTGAATCAAAGCTCAGCTCCCACAGGTTGCAGCCATGCAGACCCCAACCACAACTATCCATGACCATTAGCATTATGTTTTGCAAAGTGATTCATTTTGCTCATATCTCTAGTTTTCTCTTGTCTTATCATCAGTGGACTGAGGATAGAAAGGTGGTAGAGGATATAAATATAAACATAGCATTCTCTCAAGTTTTTTTTAGAGAGAAAATGAGCACGCACAAGTGGGGGTATGTGTGTGGGAAGGGCAGAGGGAGAGGGAGAAAGAGAATCTTAAGCACACGGGGCTCAATCTCAGGACGCTGAGCCGAAATCAAGAGTGAGACACTTAACCGACTGAGCCACCCAGGCACCCCAACATTCTTCCAAGTTTCAAAAACAAACATGTAAATACCCTTTTAATGACCAACACCTAGTGAATGCCTAATGGGCGTCAGGTGCTGTTCAGATTGCTGGAAATAACAAAAAATAAATAGGGCTGAAAGGATAGAATAGTTTTTGATTTTTGGATATTGAAGTGACTCCAGTAAAATATGTTATATTTTATAGGTTTATATTTTTAATTGTAATAAACTAAAATAGTGTGTGTGTGCAAGTGCTATTTCAATAGAGCCTGGAAAGAAGTTAGCAGTTACACAGCAAGGTTGTATTACTGTTACAACTTATTTATTTACCCATTTCCTCTTCTCTTCTCCAAAAAATTTCTAAGACTGCTTGCTGAGAGAAGAGAGGTAAACAATAGAAAGGAAGAAACAGGATAGTTTCCTTTAGTTACAATCATGTCCAACTTATGGGTAGAGTAAATCAAAAGGAAAGTCCTGTGAATTTCAAATCCTGTGAGTTTCCTTTCATGCCTGTTTTCTGTCTGATTTTGTGCTGGGCAGATGAGTGCTGTAAATTTAAGACTAACTTGGTGATGTCTTCTGAAATGGTGCCATGACAGACTTATAAACTGCATCAGGCCTCTGGAGCCCAGGAGATTATGTTGAGACTTCAAACAGTAAGGGTGATTCTACACATAAGAAGAGGGTACATTCGCCTTTCGGCTGGAACCGCCATCGTCCAGTAATTTGCCAAAATGACCAACACAAAGGGAAAGAGGAGAGGTACCCACTGTATGTTCTCTAGACCTTTTAGAAAACATGGAGTTGTTCCTTTGGCCACATACATGCGAATCTGTAAGAAAGGTGATATTGTGGACATCAAGGGAATGGGCACTGTTCAAGAAGGAATGCCCCGCAAATGTTACCATGGCAAAACTGGAAGAGTCTACCGTATTACCCAGCATGCTGTTGGCAGTGTTGTAAACAAACAAGTTAAGGGCAAGATTCTTGCCAAGAGAATTAATGTACACGTTGAGCATGTTAAACACTCAAAGAGCCGAGATAGCTTCCTGAAGCATATGAAGGAAAATGATCAGAAAAAGAAGGAAGCCAAAGAGAAAGGTACTCGGGTCAACTGAAGCGCCAGCCTGCCCCACCCAGAGAAGCACACTTTGTGAGAACCAATGGAAAGTAGCCCGAACTGCTGGAACCCATTCCCTGTGAATGCATGGCATGATAAATGTAAAGAAAATAAAAGATCTCAAGACTGTAAAAATGTTTCTCTTAATTGAGTAGAAGTGTGGTGTCCTTTCCCCCCAAAAAATATTTAAAGTAAACTTTGTGTCAAAAAAAAAAGAACAGGGTACATACTCTCTTGGAATTCTTGTAGCTATAAAGATTTAGATAGGCAACAGCAAAAGGCCTAAAGGGCCATAAACCATCCATGGGCAGAAATACTTAAAAGTTACAAATTAAGCTAGTAAAATATTAAATAAAATATGTTCTATCCTCCTACATTGTTAGATACATATTTTATAAAGCAAAATAAAAAAATATGTGATTGTATGAGTAATAAAATAAAGGTTTATATATTTATAAATTATAAATTTGTAAATTATAAAATTATATTTAATAATATAAATATTCCAAAATTTTATTTTCTTGCCTTCATTTCAGCAAATTTACTGAATATGTTGTTATAATGGAAATTTTCAAAAATTTAAGCTCTACTGATAGTATTAATCTAAGGCATTAAAAATAAAATGTAATTATAATAAAAGTATACACAATTTGAATGTTTTCATCAAAATACGAACATTCAAGTGAATGTAAAAATTTTTAGTTGAATTATTTTCATACTTTTAAAAATTAAATATTGAAAATCATTTGTTAAAATTAAAGTACAAATGATTATTAAACTTTCAAATAAAATTTAAAGTTGAAAATGCTTATTTGATTTATTAGTATTTCATGAATAATTCTGCACATTTTTATAAAAATTATATTATTCATGATTCCAGCAGTTAGTGTTCATATTTTAATGGCCAATCTAAAGAATCAGCATCCTATTTAAAGTCGCATATATACAAATTTAGAGTAATGCAAATTAATATTGCAAAATATTCCTCAGCCACCATATGCAACTTCTTTGTTAGTAATAACTGGAATCACGAACTGGAACATGAAGAAAACCAAAGAAATGGTCATTCATCTCTACTAATGGACAAAGTTCATTAAGAAAGACTCTACTGAGCTCTTACTATCATAGAGGATTTGACATGTTGATTCATTTATCTTTTCCCTTTCCGAAATATCTGTGTCACTCAAATTCTCCTTGAATTTCCAAGTAGTGTTTGTCTCCAAGAGTGAGAATTATATCTCATCAAAGTGAATCTGTGAATTATGTGAATTATATCTCATCAAAGAGTCAAGTTATAGTTCTAATGGCTTCCTCAGTACTTAGAAACCATTCATTTGAAATGTTAAGTAGCACCTGCATCTGCAAAGGTTGTGATTTATTCTCTGGCCTAAGGGTAATATTGTGCATTTGAGGGATGTAGACCACAGGCCAAACACTTAAGGCCTGTATTCCTATAGCACATGATGAGACCACTGGTTCTCAGTGAAGGCCCTCCTCTTGTTGTTAATTTCTTACTGGGCCTAATTTATAAGCTAAACTATCATAGGTATGTATGTATAGGAAAAAACATAGTATGGTACTGTCCTCGGTTTCAGGCATCCACTGGGGATTTTGGAACAGATCCCTCTCAGATAAGGCGGGGAGTGGGGGACGACTGTATACTGAATTCATACATCAATCTAACAAATAGGCATTGATCCCACTACATGCCAGGTGGGTGGGCAGAGTGCTCGGGGCTGGAAGTCTGCTGTTTGCACTAGGAAGTAACACTTGTGTGAGGGATACACACATGTCTGACGGAGATTTGAAGGTGCTTTGCAAGCCTGACAGCAGAGCTAACTTGGCCTGTGGGGGTGAAGAGAGACTTCTTTTTTTTTTAAATTATTTATTTATTTATTTATTTATTTTTTATTCTGTTATGTTAATCACTATACATTACATCATTAGTTTTTGATGTAGTGTTCCATGCCTTCTGAGAGATGTTATAGAAGCTAACAGGGTGAGCAGGTAAAGAATGGGAAGGGCATTGGGGGTAGGAGATTGCAGACACAGGGTTATGCAAAGGCTTTTCACATTCAAGAAAATCAAAAGTTGGAGAGGCACAGAGTAGCCACATCAAGCCCCTAAGAAGGTAAAATGAATCTGACAAGACCCAGCTTATTTGTTTGGAACTAGACCAGAGGTGCCATGTTAACAGCGTGGCTCTAATTGGACTCAAAGAAAATGCCAGTTGTTTGAGCCGTGCCACTTTTGATGTGTTGGCTTAGGAAAGAATTAATCAAAGCCCCTCAGTACAGTAATGTTTGTTTGTTAGTACACACCACTTTTCTCAAACTATACCAAAATTGGGGGTAGAAAGGAAACTTATTTTGGACTTATGACGTGTGAGGTCTAGCTCTTCGTGCCCCTATAATTTCTCTGATGGGTTACCCCTTTCACGGGGAGCCCCCAGTGACGTATTCTAAAAATTGCTGTAACCAAAAAAATGCAGGCTTCTTAGTTAATAACAAAAGTGCTCAATTTCAGAAGCGGACCGGGAAGACAACACAAAATTTCTCTGCAGAAAATATATCTTCAAGTCTTGTGAGATGACAGGCAAACCATCCAAAATATTTGATTTGAAACGTGGGAAGGCAACACCATGGCTAGAGCATCAGAAGGAATCAGACTGAGAAGAAGCGAAAGAGCTGGGCGCCCCAGGCAAATGCCCTCCAATGGGCACCCCCTGCCACGGACACTTCCAATGCCTGCAGCATATCTCCCAGGGAAAATAACAGTCTTGCTGCTCCTCTGGGGCCAATTCTCCCAGTGCTGTAGTTACTTCCAACACAATATCCTGACGTGAGGTGGAGGAACAACGGGGCCTCAATAGTTGTACAGGTGGGACTAGGTCCTTAGGCTCCAGTACGGGACAAGCCTTTGAATGGCACAAAAATTAAATTCATCCATACAATGAGCTAGTTGTATTATCCAAAAACACCGACACCTTGTAAACTGTGGATTCATCTACTACATAGTTTTAATAGTGACTCAGTTTCATGGGAAAATGTTTTTATTGACATTCGGTTTTCTCCTCTAATTACAATCTCTCATAATCCTCCTCATTGCACAGCCAGTTAGATACATTCTATGGAAAGCCCGAATTAGAAAATAGGCTCTTTAATAGATTTTTTTTTAATGAAAGGAAATTATTTGTTTTAGTCCACTTACCATTCCGTGATTCAGCCACCCTGGGATAAAATTATCAAGCAACTTTGGGTAAATCATCTCTCTGTCATAGGCATAAATGATCCAGAAGACCGCTACCACGAACTGGAAGGGAAAAGAAATCCTTTATTTCAAATTCACGATATACAATGCGTTGGTTATCCATTGTTCAAAAAACCCAACAGAACTGTAATCTAGAGTGAAAGACGAATCAGTAAACCAGCGAATGACTGGAAAGGGATTTCTAACTTCACTCCATTGGTGGTAATGCGTGGGGACCTTCTTCCTTCCTTGGTCTCCCTACTGTGTTCTCTTAGGCAAAGGGATCTGTTTCTGAGGAAGAGAGAAATGAACTGTCATCTGGAACAGCTCCCTTCGAGGGCTAATTGTGTTGGTTTGAATCCTCTCAAGAGGGTTTAAAAGTTCACTGGTGGTTTTTTGGATCCCATTCCCCCCTCTACAGAGTCAGCACACATTCAAGAAACTGTAGTGTATTTTCCTTGAACCCATCATGTGGTTTAAATTAATCTTCACATTCTCAAGTTTCCATTTCACCACTAACAGCATTAAAATCACTGCCATATAAAATGTCCCGAAGTCACATTTCCTGCAAATGTATTAATTTATATAGCCTAAGCAGGGGCTGTGCCTGCATTGAAAGCAGAATGTATGGAACACAAAGGAAGAATCTTAATTCTCCTGGAATAACTTACATACTCATCTGGGTTCCCAAGGTTTATTTTGACCCATCAGCAACCTAACTATCCAAAGAGAGTACAGTACTCAATTTATTCTCTTTCTTCAAACTAATGGTGAAAGAAGTTCAGATAAAATAAAGAAACGAATGGTCCAGGGTCTTAACCTTCAGCATGGAATTTTAAAGAGAATGCATATGCTTGTGTACGTAGTCAATAAATGTGGCGTGGAGAAGGCAACTAGCTCAGAGAGAAAGATCAAAGTCTCTGCAGAGTCACCTCTCATAATAAATGCTACAGAGCGATAAAATGCAGATGAATATTAAGCAGAAACAATTTTTATCTTATTTCTTGTAAGTCATCCATACCCCCGCATTTTATTAATAAAAGTAGTAAATATTTTAATGCCTCTCTTCATAAAACTCCCAGCACAAGCTAGTAATCAGAAGGGTTCCAAAGTTCTTTTCCAAGTATGTCAGTTATGACATGGGTAATTGTAGTCTGAAAAGAAAGTTCACCCTTAAAACCTAAGATGTTATGAACATTTCTCGTTTCATAAAACATATTGAAAGATAATTACAAGAGGCAACCATAGATTACACACATAGTTTCAATCCCAGATTGGGGTCTCCAGTTATTTATCCTGCTTTTGGGTCAACTATTTTCACTCAATTGATAAATGCACAAGATGGAAAAAAAATTATTAGCTTAAATGTTAACTGTCATTAGGATCTTTCCAAGTGCAATGAGTAATTTGAAATTACTCACAACTTTGGTTTATTCATTCCACTACAGACTTCAAATGTACTGAGTATCAATATTACCCGCCCTCAGACCTGGGTGCCAAACTTTACAGCATCACGACTCAAAATGCAGTCCCAAGGATCAGCAGCTCCCATGTCACCTGAGAGCTTGTTAGATGTGTGGAACGCCAGGTCCTGTCTTGATATGTTCTGATTCTGCATTTTTTTTTAAGATTTTATTTATTTGACAGAGAGGGCACAAGCAGAGGGAGAGAGAGGGAGAAGCAGGCTCCTGCTGAGCAAGGAGCCCGATGTGGGTCTCGATCCCAGGACCCTGGGATCATGACCCGGGCCGAAGGCAGCCGCCTAACCGACTGAGCCACCCAGGCGTCCCGTGATTCTGCATTTTTAATAAGATCCTGGGGTCACTCATATCCACATTAAAGTCTGAGACATCAGCTTTGGAAGGTCCTCCAGCCACCTTGAGCCTCTGCCCCCGACATGGAGTGAGGCAGTCACTCAGCCAAATGGCTGGTCTACCCAGAGCCTCCACCTACTTTTCTATACCAGATCCTGGGCAACAATAATCCTGGAATTTCCTCTTCAAAAAGACACAAGGGTCTGTGTAGACCTCCTTCCTGGGTCTGACCTGGAGGGTTGACCGCACAATCAATGTGTACACCCCTTGACCTGCAAGGTGGTTAAGATGTATCTGTTTCTGAAGGTGAGGACCAGTTTTACATTTAGTCTGGGACTCCACACACAAACACGAAGCTACTTTAATCCTGGATGGAGCCATAGGTGGAAACCCCTTCACCTTTGCCATATAACGTAACCTAACCAGGGGTGACGTCTCATCACATTCACAGGTCCCCTCCCACACTCAAGGGGGGGGGATTAAACAGGCCTGCACCATATGGGATGCAATTGTGGGGCCATCTTAGAATTCTGCTTACCATATGCCTCCACTCTTCTTCTTTTCCAAATTGTTTCAGCTATTTTAAGTCCTTTGCATTTCCATTTAAATCTTAGAATCTCAGCTTGCTAATTTCTACAAAAATATCCTCCTAGAATTCTGATTACGACTGTACTGAATCAATATATTCAATCTGGGTTGAAATGACATCTTCACAATATTGTGTCTTCTGACCCAGGAACATCATTGATGCCTCCATTCATGTAGATCTTTGGTTTTTCAGTTTGTAGTTTTTAGTTGACAGATCTTGCACATATTTTTTTTATAAATCTATTATGAAACATTTCATGTTTTTGTATGTTATTGTAGATAGTATTGAATTTGTTTTTACATTTTGTTACTCGTCTATAAAAGTACAAATGACTAGTTTATTGATGCTGTGTCCTCTAGCTTGGCTAAATTCGCGTAGTTTGAGTAGTTCTTCCATAAATTATTTTAGATTTTTATATGTATGTGATCTGCAAATAAAGACAGCTTTTTTTCTTCCTTTACAATGTATATGCCATTTACTTCTTTTTCTTTTCTTAACTGCACAACCTACAAACTTCAGCACAGTGTTAACTAGAAGTGATGAGCAGAGAGCACCCTTGCTTTCTTCGCTATCTTAGGAAGGTGTCCAGTCTTTTAACATTTAAGTTTGATATTAGCTGCAGATTTCTCTTAGACGCCTTTTATCACGTTGAGGAAAATCTCTCCTATCCTTCATTTATGTATGTAACGGACAAGTGCTGAATTTTTTCAGATAATTTTACTGTATAGCCTCAGGTGACCAGATAGTTCCTCTCCTTTATTTGGTTAATATGATGAATTCTATAGATTTTTAATGTTAAACCAACCTTTAGTACTTGGTCATTATGTATTATCATTTTTATATATTGCTGGATTTGACTTGCTGATATTTTTGTTACGAATTTTTGTCCCATCTTCATTTACACAGTATATCAATCCATAGTTAGTTTTACTTTCTCATGTCTTCTTCCAATTTTGGTGACAGGAAAATGGTGGCCTCAAAAAATAAACTGGGAAAAGCTCCCTCCTCTATTTTTCAGGGGACTCTGTCCAAGATTGATATTATTTCCTCCTTACCTATTTAATATGCTTCTCTTTTTTTCTTTTCTTTTTTTCAACTTTTTTTTATTATGTTCTGTTAGCCAATATATAGTACATCATTAGTTTTTGATGTAGTGTTCAACGATTCATTAGTTGAATATAACACCCACTGCTCATCACCACATGCGCTCTCCTTAATACCCATCATCCAGTTACCCCACCCCCCATGCCTCTCCCTTCTCTAACCCTCAGTTTGGTTCCCAGATTCCAGAATCTCTCATGATTTGTCTCCCTCTCTGATTTCTTCCCCTTCAATTTTCCCTCCCTTCCCCTGTGGTCCTCTGTGCTATTCCTTATGATCCACATACGAATGAAACCATATGATAATTGTCTTCCTCCGCTTAACTTATTTCACTTAGCATAATCCCCTCCAGTTCCATCCACATCGATGCAAATGGTAGGTATTCATCCTTTCTGATGGCTGAGTAATATTCTATTGTGTATATGAACCACATCTTCTTTACCCATTCACCTGTTCAAGGACATCTCATCTCCTTCTACAGTTTAGCTATTGTGGACATCGCTGCTATGAACATTGGGGTGCATGTGCCCCTTCTTTTCACTACATCTGTATCTTTGGGGTAATTATTTTAATTTAAATTCAATGAGCCAACATTTGGTACATCATCAGTTTTTAGTGTGGTGTTCAGTGACTCATTAGTTGCGTATAAAGTGATAGGCTTCTCTAGGGGAGCTATCTGGACTTGTAAGTTTTCTCATGAGAAGATTTAATTGTGAATTCAATTTCTTTATTAGGTATAAAGTTCTCAGGTTTTCTGCCTTCTCTGGAGAAGAGTTTTTAGTTCAAAACTAAAACTTTATGACTCAGTTTTAGTCATTTTTGCCTTTTGTGGGATTTTTCCATCTCATCTAAGTTTTTGAACTATAGTATTCAGCTGCGGAAATCAGCGAATGCTACAAATCAGGTATTTTTTTCCTTGTAGAGCCAGTTTTTAATTATTGACTAGCACACCACTGTGGAGAGCTACTTTCTGTTCACCATAAGTGATCATTCATGGTGTCCCTACCACATGGAGAGTATTTTGGTGTCAGTACTTACTGGTGGAATGTGATCAATCCTTTCACCCCTACCAAATATTGAGGGAATTCCATGGGTTATTAAAAGTGAAGTGACTTTCAAGAAAGTATTAGTCATCTTTCTTAGTGTAATACTAGAAGGTCAAGAGGCCCAGGCAACTGAATAATCAGCCTTCTAAATAATTCTTGAGATAGAAACACAGCACAGATGGTGGTTTCTTGGCTTCATGCACTAATTTCTCTTGATAGTATGGTCATCAGCAAACCCAAAATAAGTTTGAACTCTACTACCAGGGCATGAATATGAATCAAAAATAGGTTCCCTTGGACAGGCGAAGTACCACTGAAATGTTCCACAATTGTGGCCAGCTATTTCTCAGCGTGCACCTGCTGCTTCTCAGCTGCCAGGCCCAGGATACTGTATTTGAACTGAGAGTAGAAGGAGCTCAGGCGCTTTCCAGTCCTTCAAGCTTCCCAGACGAAGTACTTGTGTTACAGCTAGTCATTGAGGCTTCATTTGAACCCCTGGAACAATTAGAAATG